TGTAGATTTGTTCATGGCCGCGCTTAAAGTCCTGGAAGATAGTATCAATCTCCGCGAGAAGACTCTGAACATAACCTCTCGAGATCTCAGACGATTGCTTAGACTCGAAGTTAGTCTGGATTCGAGTGAGATGGGTTTGAATTCGGCGCTGCTCCTCAATTGCGCCGCTAAGGGACTCCATTTCTTTAAATATGCGATATTACGCGACTTCAAGCGTGCAGAAGGAAAAATTGGTTAACAAGCTAAGCGTAGAAATTTCTTGTGGTCGCTTGTATTTGCTTTCCTTCCCGGGTTTCGGCACCAATTTAATGTTGCGAAAACATTAATAGTAATCCGAACCTTGTTATAAAATTCAGGTTAAGTTAAAAACCGCGTGTCTTTTCTTTTAAAGTTCAGAATTCAAGAGAGAGTTTTATTACAAAAACCATATTCAGTTTTACATTTCAGGGTTGCAACGCGTAAAAACAATTCAATGTTCAGTACAACATTACAGAGCTGCAAAAGTTAGTAAGAAAGTAAATACTATACAATAATATTGAACAAGCGATGTATTTAATCTTAGCTCTTTTGAACTTAATGTATTTAAAACTTACCTTAATTACAACGCATTTATCAACTTGCAATGTTGTGGCTCCAGAAACTTTCAATGTTGTGGATGCAGACACTTTCAATGTTGTGGATCCAGTAGCTCGTTTCTGTAACTTTTCTCTACCGATTATTTCTCTACTAGTAGAGAATATACGTCATTCTCTACTACTCATTAGCAGTAGAGAACAGGGCGGCGAATTCATATCTCAATTCGCCTTGGTAGAGAATTGTTACAGAAACGAGCTACAGAAACTTTCAATGTTGTGTCTCCGACACCATAAAACCTTTGCTTTGCAAATTTCCTATAAAAAATTCTAGTGCATAGGGCGACATATGTAGTGCATAGGGCGAGGTAGATGACATCTAGATATATGTACTACGTACGCTACAGCGGAAATAGACGACACACAATTTCTTTAAAAGTTCCTATAAAAAGTCTAGTGCATGGGGCGACATCTGTAGTGCAGAGGGCGAGGTAGATGTCATCTGTGCCCTACGTACGCTACAGCGGAAATGGAGGACACGCCATTTCTTTAAATGAAATTAATTGGAGCTCATATGTATGTACACACATATGTAAATGCATGTGTGTGCACCTATCTATTAATATCGTTGAATTATTTTAATATCTATTGCAAAATTTTATACAGACAAGACTAAAAAGTAGAAAATAAATAATATAAAAAAAACCTTTTAATATACAACGCTTTTATAAATGGAAATGGAAAGAAGGGGGACTGAACACATTTTTTTATTTATTTATTTCAGTCCTGGAATACAGATCATTCTTACCGACTACTCAGCTAACACTAATTAAGTGCTACTAAAACATAAAAATAAAAAATAAAAATAAAAAACTTTTTAATAAACAACGCTTTTATAAATGGACTAAAAAGTAGAAAATAATATTTCTCAGTCCCATAGAATTTGTTTTGATAACTTTTCATTTTGAAATTTTAGAAAGTCGTTATAAACAACTTATGAGATTGAAAATGAAAAGCGTGGGGCGCAGACTGAAATAAATTGATAAAAAAATGTGTTCAGCCCCCTTCTTTGGCGACACAGAAAGGAGAATTCTACTTAGTGAGGGTTATAATCTCTAAGTGCGGCCGAAGGCCGCCTACGCAGAAAGGTGTTCTCTGAAAAGAAAGGAGAATTATACTAAGTGAAAATTCCGAATTAAACCCACCTATTATGAATTTTAATACGATAGACGATAAACGCTTGCAAGCGTATCGTATAAAATGAGATTTCGTATTACGGTTTCCACAAGCCCGATTGATGTACTATTGTGAATGACAGTGGTATTTGTTTACTATTTGTTGTGAATTTAAATGAAAAAGCTGTTCTTGTCTAGATAATAGTTGCGATCCCGTACGAGTCCGGACTAGTCAGAAAGTCAGAAATCAGATCAGAAGTCAGATTTTACTGGAAATCGACCCCGTACTCGGTTCTCCGAATATTTAGAGGACGAAAAAGAGAGTAAATACGGTTCTCTCTCTGTCAGAAGTTACCAGTATTAGTCCAAGAATTTTTTATTGGTAAATTCTGGTAAATGTGTCAAACTATCAGTTGTAGTGTGTTTGGCAACCAAATTGTAAACAAAAGAAAAGTGCAATCTGCTAATTCATGTTGAAAAGTATTTAATTACTTGTTTAATCGGATTCTAATGAATATGAAAGTATTTTTCGTTATTTACATGTGTTTACATACCAATAAAGCAAAAATTTACAACCAAAATTTGGAGGTTATGTTGAAGTTGACAGAAGTTACCATTTTTTACTAGAAAGCGATACCGTACTTTTCAATGTTACTCTCTCGCTCTGAGCGAATTTTTATTTTTTGACAGTTTTAGTAGTTTTAGTCCGAGAAATACGGGATTGCACCTAATATATTTTCAAAGCGAACATTTTGAACTTGAAAGTCGCGAAAATTTCCATAAGTCATACAAAATTAAGATAAAACATGTTTCCTTCAACCCCATATGCGTTTTATATAAATTCAAATTGATGGAACTCGCATAGAGGATACAGTAAGAAGGCAATTAAGAGATGCTTCCAATCCTCTGGAGAAGAACTTGATAATGTAAGTAACAGAAATGAGTTTTATTTGTTAATTATGAAAAACAATTCTTTAGATTTCAGAGAAACTTTCGTCTTT